CCACCTGCCTCTGCCTCCCGAGTGCTGGGATTAAAGGCGTGCACCACCAACGCCCGGCTCTAGTTCTCTACTCTTACATGCCCTCAAAGTTGATAGAGACCAATGGTGTTAGAACATCCATGTCAGACTGGGATATTTATCAGCTCCATATTCAGAGTGTTGAATAAAATCCAGGAACTGTGTACCAAGACCATGGTGGTGGAGTGTTTCCTATTGATTTGCCCTTCCTGCTTGCTCAAACAGTTCTCTCAGATCACCCAGGACTCCCAACCCAGGGCTTGAACTGCCTGCATTGGTCTGAATACTTTCGCATCAACCCCAATGAAAAAAAATGTACTATAGTTTTGCTCACAAGACAAGCTGGTGTTGGTATTTTCAACTGAGGCCTTGTCTTGAGAAATGACTGCAGCTTGAGTCAAGTTGAAATAAAACCAGCCAGCCTACCACACAAGCCTTTTAAGGACTTTAGCCTGCCTTGAAGATTACAGTGCAACCAGACCCCACACAGTTGCAGATCTAAGGGCTTTGAGACTTGACAGCACAACAAGTGCATCTATTTTTGAAGTTAGTGGTTGAGTATTGTATCAAATGAGATTTAAAAAAACACCTAGAAAGTGAAGAATTCCAGGCCTGTTGAGTTCAGGGGTCATCATCTCAAACCCCAGGGTGTGTGAGTGTTTGCAGTATCTGACTGAGTGTACTGAGGGAGCAGACACCCAAGGGGACAGTTTCATGCAGAGGACGTGACACTTTCAGGGGCACTGTTGGTAATGTTTCTGCCCTTTATTAAGTGGAAAAACACACACACACACACACACACACACACACACACACACACACGAAGTCTGGGTGAATGGAATCATCTCTCTCTCTCTCTCTCTCTCTCTCTCTCTCTCTCTTTTTTTCACCAAGTACAGTGGCCCCCGTGTGATGGCTTTGTTTCTTTTCCCTCCCAGCTTCCCTTTCTCCATTCTGTAACCTTCTAAATTCTTCTCAATTCACGATCCAACCTGTGCCTCGGTATGCTGCTGAAGGAGAAGACGTCCTGTTCCAAGTTCACAGTCTTCCAGAAGACCTGCAATCCTTTTCTTGGTACAAATTAGAGGACAAGAACCTGTTCCATAAAATTGTAGAATACAGCAGAGCCATGGATTCTATCTCCTGGGAGCCTACACACCGAGGAAGAGGAATGGTGTACAAAAATGGATCCCTGATGCTCCAGGGTATCACAGAGAAAGATGCAGGAATGTACACACTATCAATTTTAAACAAATATTTCAAAGTTGAAAGAGCATACGTGGAAGTTTATGTGAAAAGTAAGTGATGCTATGGTCTCCATCTGCTGGGTGTGTCTTCTGCTACATCATACACTAAACTGTCAGGATTGTCTGTGTCTATTCTCTGTGTCCCCCAGTAGGGTTTGAGTCCCTACTGGAGGACATACATTGGGTAGACAAATTGTAATTGATCAGAACTCCTCACCTCTCTTTACCTGCAGAGAGGAGGAACTGTGTTGGATAAACTCAGCCCCAGGATGTCAGCTTCAATGCAGACACTTGGAGCTCTCACCAGGCACATGTTCCCAGAAAGACTTTGTGGGAGTCAGGCAGAACTTGGCTGATTAAGTCATGGGGTCCTCACAGAGACCAACAATAAGCACGGACTCCAAAATGTTGACCCTGGCTGGAATCAAGGTGATACTCTGGAGCTTTTTGTAACTGTTTTTCTTTTTAAAAGATTTGCTGTCATAGCTGCCAGGATCAGGCTTTACTATCTGTCCAAGTCAAGGGTCTGACTATCCCATACAGTGTAGAATCAGCTGTGTACTTCCATGAAAGCTCTAGTTACATAGGTGACCTGTGCATCTCCTGCTGAGGAGGTGTCTCAGTGGATAGGTGTCTGGGCCTTTAGCCTGTTGTTCTGATGGGCTTATGAGACCTCACAGGAAGGTTCAGGCACAATGGGAAGAAAAAAAGGAGGCAGCTTCTTCAGATTCCTCCATGATCTCAGGGGTCCAGCCCAGGAAATTCTCTTCTGCAAGTAAATAGTAACAGATGCTGTCCTGCCAAAGGTTAGACCATTGTAACTAATCATAGCTCACGGACATGGCAATATCCATGCACTGTGTGTCTTATTATGGGAAAACTGAGACACAGGAAACAGTGACTCAATCAGAGTCACACAGCCCCTGGGTGGCAGATCCAAACACAAGATGTGTCTATAGTCACAGCTCCCTATTCTCCCCCTTGGAAGTTTTAAAAAGTATGAACTAAAGATGGCCTGGTTCAATTCTCTGGATCACTGTCATTTGGTACCCTCCTCTCTTTCTTCACAGAGAATGTGACACAGCCCTTTGTGCGAATCTCTGATACTATGGTCGCAGGACATAGATCTGTGACGTTCACCTGCATTTCACCTGACACTGATATCTCCATCCGTTGGATCTTCAATAAGCAGAATCTGGAGATCACAGAGAGGATGACTCTGTCCCCGACAAAGTGTGGACTCAGAATAAATCCTGTCAGGATCGAGGATACTGGAGATTATCAGTGTGAGGTCTCCAATCGATTCAGTTTGAAGACCAGTCCCCCAATCTCTTGGCCACGATGAGTGAGTGACCTTTCTTCCCCTGCAGTAGAATGCTTGAATTTCTTTATCAATGGGGTTACAAGATGAAGAAGATTAATTTAATGTGGAGAAAATTATTAGGTACTACTTAGGTACAGCCAGCGTGGCGAGTCACACTTAAAATCCTGGGATACTCTTGTGTACAAGGGAAGGCCAGGATTTAAAGTGAGTTTGTCTTAAAAGGAAACAGAAGAAATCAAAATGGAAAGAAAAACTCAAAGGCCTTAAGAGCTGATTCAAATACATAGTGATCCTTCAGATTCCATGTGAACTAATTTCAGCTCTCCAAATTTTTGGTGCTCTGAGTCTGCTCGGAAAATTGTGCATTGATTGCATTGACAAAAAAATCCTCTCATACGATCAAATACATTCCTTGTTGAAACAATTCACCTGAGTCCAATGCTGTCTGCACATCATTCATCCATGTGAAGTGAAGAAGAGTGACAGGAAAAGGGGCTGCCCGAGTTTCACTGTGGACATTGCTGGTTTCCAAATAGCCTTGATGCACACTTTGTTTGATGTCTAGATGTAACATTCTACATGGAATGTTATCATTCTGTTTTCATCTAGAAACTGGCATTCACAGTGGGACCTTGTGGACGAGTGTTTTATCCTGTTAAACCGTATTACTTTCCTTTTTAGTCTCCTCTCATATATTCCATGCTGACCTCAGTTTCCCATTCCTCAACTCTTCCATAAAACCCCATTTCTCCTCTACCCTGATCCCCTCCTCTTCTGTTTCTCTTTGAAAATAAGCAGGCCTCCCAAGGATACGTACAGAACATGACATAGAAAGTTATATTTTGTCACAGTCACTCATATCAGAGCTGGGAGTTAACCCAATAGGAAGAAAAGGGTCCAAAGGGCAGGCAAAAGAGTCAGAGATGTCCCTCACTTCCACTGTTAGGAGTTCCACAAAAATATAGATCAACATTATTATGGCTAAAATGCTGAGGCCCCAGCTCAAACCCCTCCAGGGTCTGTGATTGCCACTTCAGTCTCTGTGATCTCCTATAAACCCTGCTTAATTGCTTCTGAGTTTCATGTTTTCATGGTGTCCTTGACCCCCCTGATTCCTACAATCCATCCTTCCCCTACTCTGTGGGTTTCCCCTGGCATGGCCAAGTGTTTGGCTGTATGTCTCTGAATCTGTTTCCATATGTTGCTGGACAATTCCTCTCTGATGACTTTTAGGCTGGACACTGATCTACTAGTATAACAGAACATTGTTAGTAATAATTTTATCCCTATCTTTTCCCAGTCACGTTTGGTTCTGTCCTGAATTTCTGGGCTATCTAGCCTCTGGTTCCTGGGCATCTAGACAGTGCCAGTCCTGGGCACCATCTCATGGCATGGGTTTTGATTTAGATCAGTCATTGTTTGGCAAAATCCCACAAGTTCTCTTCCAACATTACCCCAGTATGTCCGCAGGATGGACAGATTGTAGGCCTAAAGTTTTGTGACTGCCTGTTGTCATAGTCCTATTGTAGGGGATGCTGTAGCCACGCCTGCTTAGGTGCTGGCTACAGGTGTGCCTGACCATGCCTCCGAGGGCATGGTCAGGGGACTTAGAGTGAGGGGCATTCAGGTGGCTGGTTTGGCTTGCAGTTTCGGTTTCACTTTCGGCTTGCTGTACAGACTGCTGCCACACCGGCTGGCTAGGTCGCTCTGTAAGTAAGGCTTTTTCCCTATTAAAATCCCTTGTATTTCTACCTGGCTCCGTATTGGTAATTTCCCACATTAGTCTTATTGTTAGAGTTTTTGTGGTTGTAGAAGACAGATGGTTCAGGCTACCTATCCCTCATTTCTAGGAGTCTTTACTCAGGTCACTCTTGTGGGTTCCAAGGAGCTTCCACGGTAGTAGGTTTCGATATTACTTCCAAAATGCTCCACTATTCCAGTCATTACTCAATTCCATTCCACCTTTCCGAACACGTTTTCTTACGTTTCCATCCTTACCTGACCACCATCCATTCACAAAATCCTTTCTGTTTCTTCTTCCCAGGGAGCCACGTGTGTTCCCCTTGAGTCTTCTGTGTTACTTAGTGACTCTATCCATGTGACAAAACAGGAAACTTAATGGTTGGATGTAATAGTAGTTTACAGTTGTAGAGCTCAGATGGGAGTGTTTGTTCACCATTCTGAGAAATTTTATACATTCATGTCATCTGTAGATCTATTTTGCAGCCATTTAATTGGTGAACTTTTATTTCTTTTTGTTGCCTAATCATTTCATCTAGGACATCTAAGACAATACTGAAGAAAAATGGCCACCACAGCATCCTTGTGTCAATCCTGGTGTTGGAAGAAATGCTATCAGTGTCCCCACAGAGTATTGAGTTTGCAGGGTTTTTTTGTATGTGTTTTTAATGCACTGGGCTCTCTTCTATACCTATTTTGCCTGTTTCCATCATGAAAATTGTTCACGTTTCTCGAATGTCTTTATTTATTCACTCTTATGAGTTTTCATGAATCAGCTTTTTGTTTCTTCATGCTTCCATCTCTGTAGGCTCTGGGCTTCTAGGTATTTGTCTGTTTCATGTAAATCACACTTCAGTTGCCTCCATTTATGTTGAGTAGTCATGGGAATTTTATCAATCTGAAAATTTGACAGCAAGGTCTCAAATTTCACTTCTAGTATTAATAATGTTACTACTTTTAAAAAACCAAGTCAATTGAATTAAAGATTGTCAATGCAATTTATCACTTTGAAGAATGAACTTTTATTGAAAATATTTTCTTTTCTCATGCAATGTTTACTGGTAGTCGTTTCCCCTCTCTCAATAATTCCCAGTTCCTCACAACCTCCCCTACAATGGGGATCCACTCCCTTTATTTCTCTAATTATAGAAGAATAGGCTTCTAAGAGATAACCACAAAACATAAGAAAATAAAATACCATAAAAAGAAAACTGTCATATTGATATTGACTCTGCAACCTAACAGGAGCAAAATAGTCCCAAGGGAAAACTCAATAGTCAGAGTCCCAGTTATTACCACTGTTAGGAGTTTCATGAAATGCTCAGCTTATAGCTGTAACATCCACACAGAGGACCTGCTGCCTACTCTTGTAACCTGACTATGCTGGTGAGATGCAGAAACCTCTTCTCTGAGGACTAAACAATCAATTGTCCTACTGACTTGTGATTCCTACAAATGACAACGATGACCAGCATGGCAAGATATCCTTAAATGATCAAGAATGGCAGTTATAACAATTAAAGAAACATCCATGAAGTTGAAAGGAATTAAAATCCTAAGAGGTGATGGAATGGGAGGAAATAATATAATGTAGACTCGATATGCATGTAGGGAATTCGTTAAAAAGTACTTTTCCCCCACTTTTTTATTTAAATTAGAAACAAGATTGTTTTACATGTCAATCCCAGTTCCCTCCCCTCCCCTCTTCCTCTGCCCTCCACTAACACCCTACCTATCCCATACCCTTTGTGCTCCCCAGGGAGGGTGAGGCCTTCCATGGGGGATCTTCAGAGTCTGTCATATCCTTTGGGATAGGGCCTAGGCCTCCCCTGTGTGTCTAGGCTCAGGGAGTATCCCTGTATGTGGGATGGACTCCCAGAGTCCATTCCTATGCTAGGGATAAGTACTGATCCACTACAAGAGGCCCCATAGATTTCCGAGGCCTCTCACTGACACCCACATTCATGAGGTCTGGATCAGTTCCATGCTGGTTTCCCAGCTATCATTCTGGGAACCAAGGGCTCCCCCTTGTTCAGGTCAGCTGTTTCTGTAGTTTTCACCAGCCTAGACTTGACCCCTTTGCTCATCACTCCATCCTCTCTGCAACTGGATTCCAGTTCAGCTCAGTGTTTAGCTGTGTGTGTCAGCTTCTACTTCCATCAGCTGCTGGATGGAGGCTCTAGGATGGCATATAAGTTAGTCATCAATCTCATTATCAGGGGAGGGCATTTAAGGTAGCTTCTCCGCTATTGCTTAGATTGTTAGTTGGTATCATCCTTGTAGATCTCAGGATAAGAAATAAATTGTGAGTGCACCTGACAACCGTCAAGTTGAATCATCCAGAAACCTCAGAATACAATTCCATGAAAACAGAATGACATTTTCAGGAGCACTAATCAAAAGGAGGTCATGTCACATTGCTTCTCTCCACCAAATTCTGTAGAATCACCCAGATACTCGCACTGAAGCTAAGGGATGAACACACCTGCTTAGGACATATGTCAATCATTCCATGAAATATATAGGGACTAAGATTCCTCTCTTTCCTATGTAGCCTTAGCTTTTATTTATTTTTAAAGCAACTTTGCATGATTTATTGATACTTATACGTGTTTTCCTGCAAGTGTGTCTTTGCACCACCTGCCTGCCATGTATGCAGACTCCAGTAGAGGCATTGGATTTCCTAGAATTAGAGTTAAATGTTATACTGAGTTGCCCTGCAGGTGTTGGGAATTGAACCCATGTCTCCCTAAAGAGCAGCTAGTTCTATTAATCAACAAGCCTTCCATCCAGCTCCTAGCCTTACTTTCAACCTGCTGGTACCCTCTCCATACTGCTTAAACTCACTATAAAATCACAGTTACACAAGGTAGCTGAAGGTAAGAATTGTCCATTAGTTCAATTTTTCTTTTTCTGGTTTTACAAGATGGGGTTTCTTCTCTGTATAGCCCTGTCTGCTCTGGACCTCCCACTATAGAACAGACTGGCCTCTGCCTCCTGAGTGCTGGTATTAAAGGTATGCCTGCCCTTCTATTTGTTCTTAGTCTGCCAGGGAATGACAGTAAAAGCAAAAAAGTAAAAGTTATTTAATTTTTATCAGTGTAAAGAAAATTTTTGCTGATGAAAATGGGCAAGTGTGGTTGACAGTTATAGAAATGTACGGCTGTAATAGCCATCAATAAAAGCTTACTGGTCCTTGCACACAATGACAGAGAGACAGCA